GCAAAGGATTATGTCAACATAGCAATTATCCACAGACTGTATTTCCAACATCCAATGACAAAATTGCTATGGACACAAAATTAAGTGAAGATCTAGTCAACATTTCCAAATTTAAGAGTCTTCATCCAAGATGATGAGCTACCATTTCATCGGGCAAAGATGATAATACATCGTTATGAATTAAATGGAACATTTAATAATATAATTAATGTAAAATCCACTAGTTCTAATTTGAAACTAGTAGATGTAATCTATTTTCCAAATCCAAACGAAGAAAAGGTGTGGAATCAACCAAACCAAGTAATGGCACGTATTGATAACTATGATGACAAGACAAGAGATGCAACAGGCATAAAAGGACAAATAACAATGCAAAGCTCTCAAAATCTTTATCTTGATGTAATAATGCAAGATTTTTTATCCTAAACTTGATCCAAAAGACTTCATGAATTGTGAAAAGCAAGACTCTAACTTAGATGACCGAAACCTGTCGCCAAGTAATGAACCTATCCATAAAGCCTTTAAAGACTAGGCCCAAATGCCTTTGTTTTTTTAGTAAAATAATTGTACTAAAAAGTAAAGTGTGTATTTTTGCAAGTTATGTCAACCTTAAATCTGTCTAGTATGATAATAAAGTATTTGTCACGTACTTAGCTCATTTCTTTATATATGGAATGTTTGTAATCAGTCTAAGGCAGGGCTAATTTAATTTTTTAATATTTTTAAAAAAATAAGTTCGTAATATAATATATTTTTAAAACATATTCCCTATCTAGAGTTTTTTTTGTCATGTCACCACTTGTTTCAGTGCAAATCAAACTATTTTTTTAATTAATTTTTGTATTTAGCATAGATAAAATTATACTATTATGCCACGTGTCATCATTTGGTGGATTTCGAAACGAAGCTGATAGTTTTGCACCATATGTTATGTCGATCCAACTTCCTAAAATCGATTCAAAGGAGAGAGAATGAATACATGAGAAAACATAACTACCATTGATGTCACTCCTCTTATAACTTGTATGATTGAATTTAATTTTTAACTCTTTAAACTTAAAAGTATGTTGAATAATGCAAGTTGGGTGCATATGAAAAATGAGTAAAAACATTATTATTTTTTTAACAAATAAATTACTTTAATAATATTAAATGTAGAAGCAATTATTAGTTTTTCATATGCATTATTCTCTCTCCTCTGAATTAATTTTGGAAGTTAGATCGACATAACATATGGCGCAATCCTATCAATTTCATTCATGTAGTAAATGAAACTCACTAGATAATAACATATGACACAATTGTATAATTTTGTCTCTGCTAAACACAAACTTTAATTAAAAAAATAAAAAAAAATAGTTTCATCTACACTGTAGACGAAACAAGTAGTGACGTGACAAAAAAGATCTCACACAAAGAATGTTTTAAAAATATATTATTTCAAGAATTTGATTTTTTAAAAATATTAAAAAAGTAAATCAGTCCTGAGGCAGCGAATGCCTACTAGCATCAACAAGAATTGTCTTTCTATGAAATTCTAAACTCTTTTGCTGTTCTCTTGAAAGTTTAGTCTTGTAGTCATGAGATAAATCCCTATGAAGAATGGAGATAAATAACTAAAAAAAGAAATAGAGAGTACGATCTGCACTTGCCTCTTCTTGAGAATTTTAGGTATAAAAAATCTATTTGATCAACATCTATAGCTAGAGTCTTCTTTATAGTTAAACTAAGTAACTGAGACTTGAGAAAGTAGGCTATAGATTGCCAAAAAGCTCGTCTTGTGAAAAATTTATTTATAATAGGAGCTTCCTACTTAGCAGCGGTATTAGAGCTTAACGGAACCAAAGTTATTTCTCCCTGTTTTTTATTTTTTACGAGGTTATAAGTTATGATTTTAAGTCTAAATGAGTAATGAGAATTTTTCCAATAACGAGTGAACAAATTAGATCCTCCAGGACCTAGCAAACCCAAACAAACAGTAATTTTGAGGTCCTACAAACAAACCAAAGTAATTTTGAGGTCCTACAGGGATACATGCAAGCAACTGAGTTTGTTCCTCGACCTGATTTTTTCTTCTTGACCCAAAAGTTTGAAATGCACTCTGTAAATTCCTGGGGACACAGAACATGATTCCAAATACGAAATAACGCACCAAGTTGCATGAGCCCATGCTCCTCTGTTAGCTATCATCATACTATCGCTAACAGCGACTTTACAATCCAATAATTAATTACTTTCCTCAGTGAAGTCAGCCCGTATTTATGTTAGAAAAGTATCAGGTGGAAGAATCGAAGCCTAAAGTATATACTCATGTACCATCATCCAAGGAATGTCGGCATAGATATATGCCACAATACTATAAATTTATTAATGCCACGATCCTGCAATATCTAGGGCTGGTTCAGTGAAGAAAATAATAATGTCTAAAGGATGCACTTAATTACCATTTGAGTATTATGATAATAAATACCCACTCATCGCTGCTACCCATTTAAAAGTATATATTATCAATCTTTGTATGAGTGGAGGTAGGGATAACTTAAGCACAGTAGAAATGGATTTTATTAAAATTGACTTTGTAATAGTTGAAGTTAAAATGAATATAGGGGAGAGAGAGAGAGAGAGAGAGATAATTACTAAGCAAATTTGAATACAACATATCCAGTTTCGTACAGTAGATTTCCATTTCCTTATAGATCACTAAAATGATAATTCGAAAAAGCTAAACTGTCGGATTGACATTCAGAAAATGACATTACAAAATATATATTGAATCACACCAGCTTTTATTCCTCAAAATCCAGACATCCATAAACATGCTTTTAATTCTTATTGATCGCATCAAATAGCCATTATATCATCCTACTGCCAGAATCGTTAAAATGATTTAAGCCCCAAAAATGATAATACAGGCATAAAAGATGCATGCGAAACAAATATTTTTGAAGTTTAGTTCATATTAAATTTATCTACAGCTCTGCTGATCAAGTTTTCAAATGCTACCAAAGAATTTTCAAATAAAATAAGAGTAGTTTTCATTCTTTTGAGTATTGCAGGAATACTCATTTGATATTTCTGATGAACTATAAAGCATCATAAACTCCAGCTAACCCATAAAATGCAATTTATCTCCAAATCACAGTCAATCAAAAAGCAAATCAATCGTATTCTCAAGATGCACAGTGAGATCAACCTATGACAGTACTTTAACTTGAAATACACAACATGAAAGATTAAAAGGGAGAGGTGAGTTACGGGTAAAAAACAGACTTAATCCATACTTTTATATCAATTTAAAATATTGAACACAAAAAAAAAAAAAAGAATTATTGTTCGGAATTAGTAAACAAGTTAAACGTCAAGCAATTAATACTCTCACCAAAATAGTGGCATGAAATGGAACCCTTCTTTGAATCATCAAATAGAGCAGTACTCTTTGGAAATGGGAACAACAACCAAACTTATCCCAATAGATGGGTTTAGTGGCAAGGATCAATTGACACAGTTGAACTTCATAAAAATGCAAAATATTTTCTTAGGCCTTCATCTATTCTTTTTAATCAGACTACCTTTCATTTTATTCACTTTTCTTATTAGAACCTCTATCAGTATTCTTGTCACATGACCAGATCATTGTAGACAAGCTTTTGTCATCTCTTCAATAGTTGCAATGCAACTCAAACTTTATCCAAAATATTCATTCCTATGATTATCTTTCCATGTATGTCCACACATCAAACTTAGCATTCTCATCTTCTCTATGCCTATACTAATTTAATTTTGCTTTTGTTGACACTTCACTCCCTAAAAATTCACTTCAATTGAGTATTTTTGCTAGTATTGAAGCTGTTTCCTAAGAATTTTCCTGCAAGTTTGATAGGCACTTTGTGATCGCAAATTCTGCTTGAACAGTTTACCCCGGTTCATCTACCCTTTTGAATTCTCTGTGTGACATCCTCATACCCCATTAATCTCTTTATCTCTTGCAAAATGGATCCATAGTACCTAAACCATGCAACATCTGATGAGAGGCGATCCTCATTTTTAACCACTAAAACAATGATAACTTGTTTCTTGGCAAACTCATACTCTGTTTTACTGTTAACTGAAATCCTTCAATTCCAAAGCATCTATCCAAAATTTGTTTTTAAAAGTTTACTTTTCCTCCTTCTTTGGAGTCTTCAATTACAACAATGAGCTAGTTTGAATTAAATTCTTAACAAAAACTTATAGCACAAGAAAATATGGAGGTAAAATAAATCAAATAATTTTAATTATTTAAAATCAACTTACACACTTCAACTTTTGAAAAGTAAAATGAGAACTTTTAAAAAGATTGAGGTACATACATCATAAGCTGATTTTAACTTATGGAAAAAGTTTGATTCATTTTAATTCTTTTTAGAAGTTTATTCAAGACGGGCTTATATGTCATTCACAGAAAGAGGGTATCAAGGAGCTTAATATTGGACGTATTGAAGAAAGTATATCCAATACTAAGGATAAAAAGGCATGAACTCAATGTTGGACCTTAGTGCAAACAGCTAATGCTCATGTATTTTGCAATTCATTATCATTAGTGTTGAGCCGATCGGCATGTGCATTGTACACATTTTACAGATGTAATAAAGCCATTTATGAGAGAATTCATCCAATAACTAAATGGTATTTTTGGAAACAAAACAATTAAATCTTAAGAAATAATCGCTTGTTTTCCAAAAGTTTTTTCACAAAGCCAATAAAAATAAGCAATTATTTATTCAAAATAAGTTAAACCAAATATATGCTATGACTTTAAGGGAGTTGGTTCTCAACAGGAGAAGTGTTTCATAGTCAATGTGAAATCCTTAAGATGAACTCTCTTGGTTTTCACCAAAGAACTAGCCATAGTCGGGCAAAGCTTACTGTCTATTTTGTTAGTTGTTACATTGAAACAAGGAATTAGCAGTAATATCCATAATGCCACTCTTAGAAAACAAAAGATAAATAAATTACCAGCACGTCTGGTCATTTCATGTTGAATTTTAACAACAAACCACTGACCAGAATCTATAAAGATAAGTCCAACTTGCCAATTACAAAATAAAGGAGAACCTTTGGTGAAAACAATAAAAGACATATCCTTTGATCTTGATTCCCCTCTTCCACTTATTGTCCACTTTCTCGATTCATAAAGTAGTTCCAAGAGGGAATGAAGAACAAGTCACTTTATCTTCTGTCCTTTTGAGAAACATATTCGTCCAACAGGCTGAACCAATAACCACAGCAACACTTTTCCTCCTACATATAAGGGACTAACTTGGTTATTGTTTTCCTATACCATTCTTGCCTGAAGCAATTATTTCTTTTATCTTTTTCCAGTTTGTGAAACTCACTAAGCCACTTCATATTTCTAAATTCCTTTCCAACCTGTTAATATTACCTTTGCTTAAGACAGCACTAAGTTGAAACTTCATCTTCTTGCCTTCAGATGGCATCATCTTGGACACCAAGGCAAAACAAACTATTTGAAAGAGCCCTGGCTAAATATGATAGAGAAACCCCAGATAGGTGGCAGAATGTTGCCAATGAGGTGGGAAAATCTGTAGAGGAGGTTAAAAGACACTATGAGATACTCAAAGAAGATATCAAGCGCATTGAGCATGGTCAAGTGGCATTCCCGTACAGAGCAAACAATTCTAATAATAATTAAGGCATTGGTATCAAACAGCACAGGTACTTCACCACCTCTTTCTTGATATCTGAGTAAATAGTCTGCTTGCAGATATTCCAAAATCCATTTAACTCATCCCAAAGTTTCCTTTTTAGCTAAAAGCATAATCCACAAGAACCGTGTAAGAAACAAAAAACAGTCATCTTAATCAGTTTTAAATTGGCAATTGCACTCTAAAACACTATAGTTGCTAGTGCAAGAGGAAGCATTGTGCATTTCTTTCTGAAATTCTGATCAGGATTATTCAGTCAATGCAATCCTCATTAACCTTTCAGTAGTTGCTCATTTCTTGGTATTTTGGTCAAGACAATCTATTTACTGTTATAACTGAATCCTTTGACTGCATCTTGTCTTCAACACTCTTTCTCCATAGTCTAATCAATTTCATAACATCAAAACCTTTTAGTGATATATACAACATGGTTCACTGAATTACCCCTTTTTCATTGGCAGGTTCTTGATCCGGAATCCAATAAAACGGAAGACCCGTGAAGATTATAATCATATAAGCAATAGTTAAATAAATAAAATGAAGGAATCATCAGCAGTGAAGACTAGAAAAAAATCTAACTGTAAGCTACCATGTGATTTCTATAGTCTTGTAGGGGAAAACGTTAAAGAAAATGTGTTAAGTAGATGTATTTACAAATCAATCATGTTTGTAAACCAGTACTAATTATCAATGAACAATTAGTTATTTGTCTATGTACTATCAAATACTATTCTTGTGCCGTTACCAAAAATTGACTAGAGAAGTAAAAAAAGCTAGTCCCCAAAACAGAGTCCACCCAATAATAATCCTAACCAATAATCTTCTTATCTTTATGTTATGATTTAATACTTTATAATAATAATAATCCTACAATAAATCATCCCGTACCTTATAGAAGTTTTGCGTGTCGGTCTTGGGTTTCTCGTAACGGCGTCCATGCAAGATGTAAAACAGGACAATAATCGATGCCAACGACAACTGAAACTTTCGTAGAATGCTTTCCTGGATTCCGATAAATTTATAAATTTAGTTAAAAAAAAATTATTTCGTCCTTAAACTCGTTTATAAATTACTTTTTATGCATAAAAAAACTTACATATTAGTCCCGTACCAGTTTAAAGGACTAAAGCTTTTTAGGTGTAAATATTAATTGGCAAGTGAGTGTCAGACATAAATATGTATTTTAACGTATGAATGCTCCTTAAAAAAGTAGGGATAATAAAGAAAAAAGAAATGGAGAGGAGATTGAGTGGTTTACCTCAATGATTCTGGATTCTGGGGAGAAAAGGAAATGGTAGATTTGGAAGCGATGGAGTGGTACTATGGGTGCGGAAAAGTGGAGCACCGTATCTGAAGAAATGCGAGTCAATGGGAACAGGAAAAGTTCGCCCTAGAAGGGAACAAACGGGGAAAAAGTAGAATAAAGCAAGGAATTCAAATCAAAGGGATAGATAGTGGTTGCGAATTGCGATTTGCGATTTGCGATTTGCTACTCGTCACTCGATACACCTTGTATTGTGTGCGATGCAAATGTTTCCAATGGCGCCAACTTATACTCCTCCCCTACCAACTTTCTTATGCTTCATTTCGCGAGTAAACCGAAGCTTTCGAATCTAAAATCTACCTTTGTATATAATTTGATAACAATAATATTTTGAGTTATTAACAATAAAATTACTAAAAATTCAATTTGACTTTGTACCAGGCATATATATATTTGGGATAAATGATCTTTTAACTTGGAGGGTTTATAAGTAAAAAACTTGTAAAGTTACATAAAAATTTACTTTTATTCTTGTGTTTGACGTTATATTGCATAGTAGCGACCTCAACTCTACTTTGCGAGGGAAATGACCATACGGTAAGTTTAAATTATCTTTTAGTTATTATATAAGATTTTTTTTTTAAATTTATTCTTTACAAATAAAATAATTTATATATAAATTAAAATTTATTTTTAGCTTTATCTTTATTATTATAGTGACAATTTTATATAAGTGTCAAGTGATATTTTTTTTATCATATTTAGAAGAGTATTTTAAATTATTTAAGTTTCATATTATGTTTCATACTTTTTTATGTCTATTTTCATGTTTTAATACATTATTTCTAATATTTTTATCTCTAATATTACTATTTGTATGTATCGTATCTCATCATAATTCACATTCATTTGCTTATTATTCTTAGTTCAATATCTTAAATCTTGATCATGTCTTCTTTCATATTCAAAGTCAAAATCTTTCTTCTTTTATATCTTTAATACATTTATAAAATAAATCATAATCACTCTTTAAATCATCATTGTTATCATCGTTTTTATTTATTTTTGTAATTATAAATTAACAATCTTAAAAAACTAGTATTAGAATAAGAATGATAAGAGAACGAATGAAGATTGTTATAAAAATATGATAAAACAAACAAGTAGTGATATTTGATATGAGAATACTTGAAGTAATATATTATCACCCTACCCTGCTGCGTCGGTTTAAACAAGTGTTACTTTATATTAATTGTACAAATTTATTATAATTTTAAAAAATATTTGTGTAACCCCTGAACCATAATTGTTGCTATTTTAGTTTTAAAGAAAAAAAATTATTTACTAAATATTAATTGATATATTAGAAAAGAGAAAAGTTTATTTTAAAAATTATTTTGACTTAACGGTATGCTTTCCACTCCTATGTATTCTTAGGTGTAATAAGGACTCAAAGTTACATAATTCTATCTAAGACATTTTAACTTTAGTAAAATGAAATTTATTTCAACAATACAGAAGGTGAAGAAAAATCACATAGCTATATTAAGAATTATTAAAAAAATATTTTTTAGTTTGTAGAGGAAATATTTGAAATTATATTTAAATTTAAAGATTTATATTAGAAAAAATTTAAGATAGTGTAAACTATGTATAAATCTCTTATGATTTGATCATCAATGGAGGCAACGTAAATCATACATAAGTATTGTAAGAATAAAATAAAAAAAATAAATTTAAGTAATCAAATGTCTAGTTATTTAATTTTTCAAGTTATTTAAATTTAGAACTAATTGTATTTAATGAGAAGAGAAATATCTAAGAAAAAAATAAAAAATATATTTGAATTGATTAGTAAAATAATTATTTAAAATAAGTTAAAATATTATTTGATAAGTTTGTATTGCATAAAAATTAAAGTAATATTGGAACATAAAGGTCTTAACAATCTAAAATGCATAAAGATAAAGTTACGTTACAAATCACTATACTAAAATAATTTTTAATTTAATTCAATAAATTAATAATTTAATAATTAAAAAAATTATTTGAACAACTATGTTTTGATGAGTTAAGAATATTTATTTAATTAATTTAAAGTATAATATACTAAAATTTTATCATAAGTCTTATCAATTTATAACATATGACAATAAAATTTAGTATTATAAATTAATGTAAATATTTTATTATTTATTTAATATAAAAATAACTTAAAAAAATATAATTCATTAATCACAAAATAAGAAAATATAAAACATAAATATAAAATTAAAGCATATTAACATTCTCAAATTATACAATAAAGTAATAGACAATCATACTAAAGAACAAATAACTCAAAAATTAATAAAAAAAAATAGGATATAAATAATTAATATAAAAATTATTATGAAAATTTTTGTTTTTTTATGTTATTTTACCTGTCTATTATTATTGTTGATGGAGGAGGATAAATTTTATAAGTAAAAATAAAAGATATAAAAAAATAAAAAATAAAATATTTTCATTGAAATAAGCTAAAAATAGATAAAATAAAATAAAAATTAGGCTAAGAAATATATTTTTGTTTTGAATTCTTTTGTGCCGCAGAACACTAGCTAAAAAAAATTGACAAAAAATAATAAATAAATTAACGTGACATGACTGTTGGCTATTAGGAAGCTACGCTTACTTTTTCAAATTCAGATTCGTAACAAGTTCAAGCCACGAGTTTTTCTTTCTGTTCATGCTATTCGAGTTATATAATATATAAAATAATATTTTAGAAAGAAGATTAAGACTCTCGTTTCCTCGTATTACTATTTCTATGCTCAAAACTTAAAACGTTGAGCTCTAAAATATTGTGGAGGCAAAAGTACTTAAGTATCAATGGAGGATAATTGGGCGGTTAGAGATAGATGGCACTATAGTTTTTTTTCTCCCTTAATTTCTGATTTTTTTTTTTGTTTTCTTTATTTTTCTCTCTTTCTATTGTGCTTTCTCATATTCACCTTCTAAGAAATTTGTCATGTACTTTCTTCTTAATCTTTGGTTCTTTAAATTCCTTTTCCTTTATTCTTCAATCTTATTTCTTAAAAATTTGTTGGTCTCCACTTCGGATTCTTTTTTTTTTTTCTATATATATTGATTCTATTTTTATGTTTAAGGTTTCAGAAGAGGTAAAAATTTTAAGTTTTTTCTTATGCATGCTAAAAATTGGTTCTTGATTCTGACTTGAAGCCTAAATTGTGAGAGATTTCCATTTCTACAAGTCAAGTTGATTTCTCAACATTATCCTCTTTTTTCTATTAATATATTCTTATATTTAAAAAAAATGAGGAAGTAAGCTTTGTTGGAAGAAAAAATTGGTATTCACAAAAAAAAAAATTACAAAAAAGAGGTCTTACATAAAAATTAAAAGACAATTTAAATCTGTCAAGTTAGATAGTCGTTTGTCATGTAGAAAAAAATGTAATATATTATAATGTACCATGATAATAAAAATAAAATTAAAAATAATTTTTCATATAAGGACTGATACATTAATTTTTTATAATATAATAATGATCAACTAAAATAACTTGACTATGAGACCTTATTTAGTATTATTTTTAAGATATTTCTAATCAAGTATTAATATTAAGACAATATAATTTATTAAGTCTAGTGTGAGTAGACTAATGATCAAATATCACATATATGTGATATGTGATATCAAATCCTCACATTAGTAGTAATCATATATTAGACTTAGTCATCATAGTGGTATATGTGGTCCTTTGTCATATATCAAATCCTCACATTAATGGTTCACAGTATGATAGTGATGTATGTGGTCCTTTAACTTGAGTCACTACATTTTTACATGACTATTTATAGTTTTTAATTTCATCAAACGTCAAATGTAATAAGGTATTCAAAAAGTTTAAGGTTAGACATAAATAAATCATGAGTGATCTAGATTGAATTTGTCCCTTCTATGTAATAATAGTAACTTTTATAAGGCCTAGATTATGAAATGCATAGTCATGCTTAGTAAAATCAAAATATTTATTTGAAAAAGTCTTATCGGGTATCAATGAAATAAAATTAGATTTTATAAAGTGACATATTTCATGCCTTATATTCAATTGATAAGAGGACAAAAAAACTAGTAATATAAATTATATATTGTTACATAATTAGGTTATGACCATTTAATGACAATTTTGTATTTGAACATAGTGATGTAATGTTAAATGTTTCTAAATATGTACAATATTAAATATCAAATGAATTAAATATTTTAAAAAAATTATAAAGTTATATAGAGAACAAGCTCACTACATAAGGCAAATTCTAATTGGACTATATTTATTACCTAATTAGACTGGACTATATATATATATAGTGGAAGACAAAGAAGCAATTGTCACTCAATTCTTGAGTGAACTTAATCTTAAAATTGTTGGTGTAATAAAAATATGTCACTATGTAGTCTTTAAGAGATGGTTCATCGGGCCATCAAAGAAAAGCGGCAAATGAAAAGGAGGAGAAATTCAAGGAAGAATGTAACACCCCTTATCTTACTGCTATGTTTTGGATCTTTTTTGTGTTCTATTTATTTTGATTGATTCTCTAAAATTCTATCTTTGCTAGTATTGAAATAATTTGTGAAGTGCAGAAAAGTTGTTTAGTTGCTTTTCTTTTAAGTTTTGATTTAATTGCTTGTTGTGATATTCATCGGAGTATTTTCCTTATTCAATGGGATCTTAAGTGGCTGCATGTTATTATTACATTTCTAGCATGAACCCCAAATTGTCTTAAGCCAGCTAACCTTAAGAAAGGAGAAATTAGTCAAAAAAAGAAATTGCCTAATTTCATGTAAAGGTAATTTTGGATAGCTTTAAAACTATACTGCAATACCTCATTATTTTCGGTCTCCCTCACCTTAACACACGTGCAACACCTTGTTAAGCAAATTTTAACGTGTGGCAATAATTCATATTTCCTGCTCATTGTTATTGATAAAACTTTTTGGCAAGTGCACCAAATCTTTGAAGTTACAAAAGATTATCGTCCACAGGGATAAGTGTTAAGTATCAAACCACAAGAATATTACTAGTTGAGTCACCAAAAACAGGGTATATATAGTAATACGAAATTAAACAAAGCAAAATTGTAAAACTGAAAGTAAAGGTGCTGGAATTACAATTAATAAATAGACAAAAGTAAAAATTAATACAGAAAATAAGTAACAGAACTGCAGAATGTAAATAACTCAAGTAGAGAAAATAGGTTTTTGCAAAGATTAATAAATGGGT